AGGGGGGATGAGGGCGCGGGGGGGGGGGTCTCAAAAAGTCAATGTGTCTGCTAAAGGGAGTGATAATGGGAGACTGGTGAAACGAGTGAATAAATTCTTTATTGGTGAACAATATTATCGCAAAAACAGGGCGACCTGACTGCAGCTTTTTACTCTCATTTGTCTGGCCAATTAATGTGCCTCTTTTGGCATTGCTTCCCCAACCGCACATCAACGTAATAGTCAGTATTCAACACTTCTGTCAGTGCCTGTCCTCCCACACATACGCTGAAAGAAATGTGTGTGTGTGTGTGTGTGTGTGTGTGTGTGTGTGTGTGTGTGTGTGTGTGTGTGTAGCTAATGACATTAAAACCAAAAATAACCTGGCAGTATACCATGCCCTATTTTTTTCCCATGCCACTGACAGCCTGGAATCGGTGTAATGAAACAACAAAGGAACCATTCATTTTCTCAGCAACTCACTGCGGATGTGCTCATTCAATGCAAATGTCGCACACGCATATCCTTTAATGGAGGGGTGGGGGGTGGGGGTGGGGCTTTTCAAGATGTAGGTGGAAGCAGGCGCGCACAATTTTTCAGCATAAGATGTTTAAGATTTAGGTGACCTACCGTCCTCTATTTCGAACTTAGAAAACAGGCTGCTGCCAATATCTTACAATCAGCAAAGATTTTTACAAGACTTATTTTTACGATGGGTCTTTTGCCTGAAGTTATCCGATATAGGCTCTCGCTCCCCATGACCACGGACGCGATAAGCAATATGGATGGATGGATTGATTCTCACATCATGATGGGACATTTCCCTTTGTTGCTTCAGCGTTGTTTTTTTTCTCTCTTTCTTTCTTTTTTTTTTCCTTAGCAGGATCCCTCATACATCATTTCAAAGTTTCATTCAAGAATATCCCGGTTCCAATCTAAAGTGCAGCGCAGTGCTTTTGGCATGTGTGGCGAGATGAAGGGTAAAGACTGACAGTTAATAAGAAGACATGAGAGCGAAAGAAATCAAAGGCTGTGAAGGATTTGGTTCTATAGGGAAAGGGGTGACATGTCTGTTGAGAGCGGGATTTGATCCTGGAGAGGGGATGAGAATGAAAGAGACAGCAGAAGTCTTCGTATGTGTAGGCGAGTCAGTCTCACTTTCGCAAAGGGAGGTGGCAAAGGGGCCAGAGGGAAGGTGACAAGTGTTTGATGCATGTTTTTTTTTTTTGTAGACTAGCAAAAACGTTTGTAAACTCTCACACATCGAGGTTAATGACACATCCAAACAAAGTTGTGCAACTTTTTTCACATGCCATCCTTATTATTTTGAGGGGGGTGGGCACCTTGTCAGCATGTATAAAAGCAACTCCAAGTTCCAAAGAGGGTGAAAGCGGAACAGGCAAGCATCAGTCAGCAGTCATAGAAGAAACTGTGAGATAGAGCAGCAGGCAAGATCTTAAAAGGAAGGTGTGGCTGTTCTAATGTGTTGACTAACAGTCGCAAATTCCCTTTAAATCCAGTCTGCTGGGTGTTCTGAGCCCGCGGCTGGCTGGCTGGCTGGCTGGCTGCGGAGGAGGCGATAGGTGCTTCGTAGAAGAGAACAAGGCGAAAAGCTTCTATTCAAATAGAAAGAAAAAAAGTAGATTTGGGAGGGAGAAAGCGGTATGTTTTGTATTTACCCGATACGTTCTGTGATTTGTGGCAAATTGATGAGAGCGCGGGCGCTCAATGACCGTTACAAGCACACATTTGAACACATTTAGTAATGATTATAGTAATCCTTTGCTTGTTCCTTTAATAGGACACCTGGGGGGGATTGTGTAGAAATGTTAATGAATTAAATTAACCCCCTCCCTCTGCACCCCCCACCCGCCGCTTTCTTCATGAGCAGCATTTTGATGAAACTGTCTTTAACAAATCAGTCCCGGCCTTTCCCACACTTACATTAACAATGGCCTCTTTGGTCTGGGCCATGTCAGATATGACTCCGTCTGTGATGATGAGGAGCACAAAGTACTGGGAGCCGTCTTGCACTGACGCCGCGTACCTGCGCGCACACACACACACGCACACGCACACATATTTCATTAGACATGTCAAAGAGCAAACGACGATCACAATGTGCTTTGTCATGCAAAATACTCATCAGATAACCCTTATCGAAAAAAGATTCCGGAGTGTCAAATCAACTGTTCGATTCACAGATTGTCATCTTGTCCCGCCCATTTCTACCCGAGTACACTTTTTCATATGCTACATCAAACAAAGGTCGATTAGCTGCCGCATCAGTGAAAAAAGAAGGTGAAAGGATGATGTTTTAAACATGGATTTGCAGAAGGAAATGTTTGCATATACGCTTCACATCAGGCTATGGAGATTAATATTAGCTTTGAAGTGTTTTTTTTTTTTTTTTGATCATGTCACAATTTGTACATGAGAGTGTATGTCAGTGCATGTTAATGTTGACACATCCTGTCTCGTTTGTTCTGTCGACTAAATCAAGTCTCGGTCGACAGCTGCCATGTGATCTAAATTCATGTGCAAGCGGATGTCAAGTCCAATTTATTGTGTCTGTGTGTTTTTGGGTCTGCATCATTAAACGAGAGACTGTGGCACAGACTACTATCGGCACACTTGATTGATTTTATTTATTTTTTGATTTTAACTTTTTCATATTCAATACGACATCAGAACATTGCGAACGGGGGTTTTGAAATGAATTGAAGAAAAGAAAAATACCTGTCTGAATGCAGGATTTTCAAAGATGGCCCTGGAAAGTAATGAAGGCACAATTTCTTCCCTTCCTGTAATGTCTTGAACCCATCAAAAGATCTTTTTTTTTTTTCCTTTTCTTTCTTTGTCATTTATAAAAGCTCTTGAATGCACAGCTGATTTCTCATACTCATTTCGAACGTCATCTTTGTTGATGGATTTTCGAATGCTTCGAAGTCAAGGGCCCTATTTTGCTAGACTGGTGCTTCATCATTTTCCTGCCGGGGCAAATGGACAAATTCAGCGTGATTGTGAATTTGGTGGACACGCTACGTCTGACTGGGTGTTTCTGCCTCGCCCTCCTCAGCACATCTGCAAACATCACCAAAAGTAGGTTGAATTTTAAACGTCTCGAAAGCAGATTTGTTTTACAGCGCAGGTGGTCTAACGCGGTTTGGGTGTATTACATTGAGGCGCAGGATGACAGATTCGGTGCTACGCGGATGTGTGCGTTACCTGGCAATCGGTTAAGCGAATTAGAATCATCTTAAAAGTATTTTAATAAGGGGGAAGGAATTCACAGCACCTGCTCTCCTGTCTGGATCTTCCACTGTGCTGAACAGTATCTATCTTGCCCCCCTCCCCTCCCCCCCCTTAAAGGCATGACATTTTCCCACATGGTGCTCCACTTTCATGCAGAGCACTCATGCTAGACAGAACTTTATTTATAAATTTACGATGCGTGCTATTTTATTTGTTGTCTCATGCCTCAATTCCTTTGCATTCATAGAAATTATCGAGATGGAATACAACACCAGAGATGACTTGTTTTTACAAATTCCTACTACGCTTTGGTTCTTGTTACATTTTTGGCAACATGGTTCACCACTGGCGCAAAGTTGGTCGGCCCATACAGTTGTACCGTCTTCAGACTCTGGTGGTAGGCTTCCAAGATGCCTTCTATACCATTGCAGTAAGGATTCTCCATGTTTCCATTCTAAGGAGGGCGCACCAAACGACACTTTTAAGTTTCAGATAGAACTGAAACACAAAAGCAGAGTGGTCTCTGCGAGCTGCGAGGCTGAACGGAAAGTGACTTTACCAGAGGAAACTCGTGTGACACTCGTCCATCGGGGGGAAGTTTGGCTCCGAAGCCGAGAGCGGGAAACATCTTATCACTGTCATAATCCTGAATGATCTCCCCAACAGCCTTCAGTGCCATGGCATAGGCGTTCAGCTGGTAGGGGTTCATGTAGTGGAGTGAGGTGGACTGAGAGGGGTTACCTATTGAGCACACAACCAACACACAGCTGTCACCGAACGGCTGCGCTTCGGTCGTACAGATACAACACAGTCTTCAATTATATAACATTCATTGATCTAGTCAAACAACCTAGATGTCAAACAATTTGGAATTCAGACAACCTTTCAATGATTATTGGCGCTCACATAGGATTTGACAAAACATGACTGTGTGATTGTACTCTAAAACACGAAGGGAGCTATTATTGCTAAAACGATTCTACTGTGGCATCCTATACGACTGCATGACCTCATTACAATTCAAACCTCAACACATTCATTACTGTGCCAAGACTTGTTGGACAGCTTGTCAATAACTGTGACCTTTCTGAATATCCCGACTGCAATGGCATGTTCTTTGGTCATTCAAAATGAGCCATTCTTTGGAAATATAAAATCAATATATTGAACTTACAGATATCAATAACATAAACGCTAAATTAGGACTCCACAAGTACGACAATGACAGCGCTGCTGCTGTCATTATAAGTCAAAATACTGGACAGTATCATTCACTTTTGGGTTCAGTGTTGGGCCAATGGACAAAAAGAATAAACGGTGAGGGTAGCAACATTTTTTTTCATCAATTCTTGAAGGTTTTTGTCCGGTATTTTGCCAGCCATTCCCCTTATTTACCGTTTGGTGATGGAGCAAAGATCATCACTTGCAGGTGACAATGTACAGTATCCGACGGAGCCGCCCGCTTGTGTGCCTGCTTGTGATTGATTCCGCAGTCAAAGAGCGCTTCTATCTGTTCTGGCGCGACACAGCCCCGCACATACGCTTTGTATCACTCACCGTTAGATGCTGTGAAATCGATAGCCACAGTGAAATTGATCTGCGTCCTAGAAGGGGGGTGCAAAGGAAAACATGGGAAGAAAAATGTCGAGCTACAACAGGCAGGAATACGAAACGTCCCTCATCAAGTTTCATCAATGATTTCCGATGGTGCCAAAGGTCCAAAAGCCATCACGACTTCAATTTGTCAGTGCCGCGTGTCATATCTAGTCAAGCACAGAGCCGCAGTTGGCTCTGAAAGATTGAAGTGATTATATCTGCGTACTTATCCCACTTTCACCTCCACGAGGAGCAGCGGAAGGAGCAAGCGACGGCGCCAACCAGTAATTAAAGTGACGGAGCAGTTCAAGAACAAATCATAATCTAATTCTCCCTCGCTGATGAAGTTCTGCCTTCTTCTTGTTAATTTACGGGACAGTGACGAGATCTCGGGGGGTTTGGTGGGGGGCCCCAAATGACAGCCCCTCATTACATGTGAACGCCAGCCCGGGGGGGAAGGCAGCAGAATGATAACCAAATGAATGACTTAAAGATTCACATTAACCTTTCAGTTTTAGGCGGAGACTGAGAATATGCCAACGCCCGACCCTGCCAACCTGAGCATTAATTACACGCGATTGTATTATTCATGAGGCCTCTTCGATTGCATTCGCTACCCCGTCCGTGCGGTACGGTCGCTTTGCAAACTGGACTGCGGGAAATGCGGTGATAGTGATGCCATTCTTGAAACTCGCCGAAGAAATGACTGTTTTTGTGTGGTTATCTGCCTGCTTGTGCGCGCGTGTGTGTGGACTGTTGATTTAAAGGTCAGTATTAGGAAAGCTGTGACATTTTTTGGAGCCTCTTGTCACTTTGGTGAATCTCTGTTAAACGACCGCTTTCGACGACACTTGTTCACACTCCAGTCCCGATGAGTGTGACAAAATCCGACGCCAGAGACATTTGAGTGTTTAATTCTATTTAGAAACACATGCTTGTAGAATAATTCTTGTTGCTAGAATCATCTAATATGATCCTTATTATTTACATCTGGAGCATTTTGATATGTCTCTTCTGCCAAATAGATATTGCTGTTGCTATAAAGCTCCCCTTGAGCAACTTTAACCAATTGGTGAACGCATTTTGCAATCAGCAAAAGCAAAATTGTAACACTTTTTACCACTCCGAGTACCACCTCATAAATGATACCATAATTTCACGTAAACAATACATCCATCAGATGTCTTCACCTACTGCCGCGCATATTTGCACGGGACCTGCGATTCTTTGGCGACTGCATCTCTCAGCATGAATGAGTGAATTGCAACTCTGACGCTCATTTTGAAAAGCAAAGCTCAATAGCAGTGCTCAATCAAATCAGAGCCAGTCCGAGAACTAACTACTCACTTACCCTCCTTTGATGTAATCTAAGAACGTGAACTCTGACTCCACAGAGAATGAGAGCAGGGTGACCTAAAAGAAAGAATGAAAAAAATACAAATCAGATTGAACACGATCCCAATTTGGTTTGTTGGCCAAACAAACATGTCGAGTGAGTGCTCGCCGGAAGGTAAGAGATGGCTGCTGCTGGGTGATTCGTTTACTTTCTTCGAGACAAGTGTGTGTCAAGATGATTTGTATCGCTTATATTTGTATCCATCACTTGCACATGGCAGCACTAGCAAGGAGGCTTGGAGGGTGGAGGGGGGTGTTTATTGACACCTAACTCTGTGAGTTATGCCATTCTTTTTCTTTTTTCTTTTTTTTGAAGTACAATGATTTTTGTTTTTGGCACCCGATACTTAAAAGGAACAATGACCAAGTCCACAACTGGGTGAGATGTAAAGGATTAACGTGAACAAACTGTGGCGTACTCCACCTACTGTGGCTCCATCTGTGCCGTGTTCACCAAAAATAGTCAGTTTTCCCGACACTCTCCGGCAAATGTGATAATTGGGCGGAATCAGTGAACAATAGAAGTACGAGTGAAACACAAAAGAGGCAAATTTCCAGCCTTGATTGGGTGCAGACACTCACAGTTCCAGAGTTGACATATTTCTTTTTCTTCATTTTCTTCTTGGTATTTATAACCTATAGATTAAAAAATAGAAGAAACAATTCACATGACATGAAAGTAGCATTATTTAAAGATTATTGTTATAAAGCACCTCCTTGATTAATAGTTTGCTCCATGACAACGGAAGACAGTTAATTTTATTCAACTTCAATTTCCCTGTTTTTTTTTTCCATTCCTCCACAGGAAAATTTACAACCTATACTACATTAGAACAAGACACAAAGATGATTAGAGATTTGTACGCTGGCGTTTGAGTAAGTTCTGCAGATAATCTGCATAAAGCTTGGTTGTGCCGCTACAGTGTGTCCATCTCACAAAACATAAAGTCATTTGTAAAGCATTAAAATGCACCAAAGCCCGTTTAAAGTGATACTGATCGTCATGGTACGAGGAATCATCAAATCTCAAACCTTTTTTGGAGATAAAATATTTTGAGGAGAACACTTGCTTTTTTTTTTAATGGCATTTTTTTTTGTTGTTTTGTGAGGCAACCAGGAGAAATATTATTCAGCAACAGGAATGTAACTGACTGCAATGTCGCGGTAGCATTCGGATGAAAGGCGCGTACTGCGTGTGTTTTTCTTTGCTCAGTGCAATATGGCTGAGTTGTTACAATAATAAACGGAAGAAATAATAATAAAGAACTAGGGGAAAAAAGGTCCGAAAGTTGTGTGCGTGCGTGAGTATCTGAACGCACGCACAAGGTACAATAAAGAGCACTGATGAACACCTGATTAAACACTTTAGCCTTGGCGTCCTGTGCACGCCAACCATAGACGCAAACACTGACGTTTCCAAATACGATGCAGATCGATGGGTGGCGTGGACAGCAGGCTCAAGGTGCATGACTCACATTCAACCGGCTGGAGAACAAGAGAGAGATGTCAATTGTGAGACCAAAGACGTCTCAGCTCATTACTCTGATTCCCTACGGATGGGAGGCATGAAAGTGACAACCGCTCATTTAACATGGAGGGATGGCAATTTGTCTGACACCCTGAACAATCTGCTGATGCAAAAAAAAGTAAAAAGGCCTTTCAGACACCCTGGGAGGTAGAGAAGAAGCGGCAGTAACACATAATGGAGATGACATCCAAAAGACAGGTATTTATCCTTGATGTGAGACTAGTGAACCACAGCAGCATGAAGATCCTGACATGTCGTCTTTGTTGCTTTTCATAGATTGAAATATTTGCTATTGCTGTCTTAAAAGAAAGTTAAAAAAAAAAAAAAAAAAAGAGAACAATGTCTACGTCCATAAATATGGTTCTTATAAAAGTGATTGAGTATGTCTCCCAGACTTTGGAACCATAACTAAGTGAGACGGATTCGGAAGTAGACATCTAAATCAAGAGGTCTTAAATTGCGAGGCACTGACAAAACTGTTGTATTTCGTCATCCTTTTTCACTCAATGGTGTGAGCATCCAGGTGATTTTAGCGGAAGAATTTGACACAATTTAACCCCTTCAGGGACAACGGTTACTACAGTGGACACTTTATCGTGTTATAGGCTGCATGAAAGTGCGGCCCGGTGATCCAGTGGTTAGTGCGTCGACCTCACCGTGCAGAGGGTTCGATCCCGGCTCCGGCCTTTCTGTGTGGAGTTTGCATGTTCTCCCTGGGAATTGCTTGGGTTCTCTCCGGGTACTCCGGTTTCCTCCCACATAGTAAAACCACGCATGGCAGGTTAATGGAACATTCTGAATTGTCTCCTAGGTGTGAGTGTGAGCGTGGATGGTTGTTCCTCTCTGTGTGCCCTGCGATTGGCTGGCAACCGGTTTAGGGTGTCCCCCTACTGCCCGAAGACGGCTGGGATAGGCTCCAGCACCCCCCGCGACCCTTGTGAGGATAAAGCGGATCGGAAAATGGATGGATGGATGGATGGATGGATGGATGGATGGATGGATGGATGGTTAATGAGGAGGATATAATTTTTTCTTTTTTGCAAAATTTGATGTCATCCAGCATGACAATTTATTCAGGTGTTCATCTAGGTTTTAACGATGCACCTGAAAAAAAACAGACGAATTACCTCGTACACATTGAACTGACTCTGCCCTCGGGCTAACTCTCGGTAGCTGGTGGTGAAGTCCCCGATGAAGTCATGGCTGGGAAGAGGAAAAAGGTGCGAGTCAATTAGGGGTGACAAACAAACGGGCACCAAAGAAAGAGACAATCCACTCACCCGCCGTCTCTGTCCCAATCATACACCTCCACTTTGATTGTTCTGGAGAAAGAATTCAACAGTTACGTCAAACAGTCGTTTGGAAAGATGAGGAAAGTGTATTGGAGACCACTTACACATGACGGTCCCACTTGAACCAGCTTGCTACGGTTTTGTTTGCCAATTAAATTCACTTTGTACAGAAATTCTTCTCAAGAGCCGCATTGCCATCTGTCCTAATTTCATTGGATTCCTCCGTCCATATGTTCTCGCAAGAATTCAGACAAGCACGTTGAATCCTGCAACTGTGTTTGAAGAGGACTTTTATGCCAGCAAGACGAGAGCCAGGCAGGCAGACTGAACGTAACAAGTTTTCCCAGACGCAATTCTGGTGTGCAGAGGCTCTACAGGTAGCGTGGAAGAAGGAGCACATTTTGACGCAACTGACGGGAAGTTGGAACCGAGGACGGCTGTTTTTATTTGGTGTTTTAGAAAATTATACATGAACCGTTCGGCATAGGGATCGACAGCTAAGTGCCAATTGCATGATGGAAGGAGTGTTCTGAACCAAACATACCCTGGAAGAAAACGGTGTGGTGAATTTACTCAATTTTATTTCGTCAAGGTAGATTATCCATCAACACAATATTTTCAGTCCAAGCGTTTTTGGTTGCCTGTGGGCAGATGTTTTTTACTCGTACTGCAGTACAACACACGATATGAAGCAGAATGTTTTTGTCCCCCTAAGGATTGGCAGAGTAGATTTGCCCGCAGATCTCCAATTCCCAATAATGCCTGCTCTGTATATCATGAATTTTTTAGTGGAGTTTGCATTTCACTGTATATCATTTTGCTTTTACCCACCAATCTGAGTGGATTTTCCACCACTGCTTCAATCAATTAACAAAGACTATCCACATATATGGTGTAAAACGTGGAGAGGCGTTTAAGAGCATCGCATGTCAAGTGGAATCTTTTTACTGCAAACACATGATACTCTCAGAACACAACAGCGTTATATAATGAGAGATAATAATGTCATCCTGTGGAAGAAAGTGTCCACAGGTATCAGTATGACAAATACCAGACCGGTAATCGTATGGTCTGTGCAGTGTGCATTCCTGTGATGACTTATAATTTACCATGTTGAGTGTATTTTAGGCAGCCCAGTGACCCGGTGGTTAGCGCGTTGACCTAACAGTGCAGAAGTCGTGGGTTTGATATGCACTGCTAGTGGCTGGCGACCATTACTGGGCGTACCCCAGCTAACCAGTGAGCCAAATTGGGACAACCGATACACAAAACACATACTGGATGCATGGATGCATGGATGGATGGTTACACAGTGGACTGTTGAGGTTGGTACACTTCCTGCAATTCTCAGTAAAAACATGCCTCGAAAGTTGATCACAACACCGGAAAAAAAAAAACGGCAACGTGATTCTGATTCAAGTCAAGTCATATGATGAGTCTCTCAAGCTTGACGGAAGGCATCAATTTTATTCACAATACTTTACCACTATGGAAATTGTTTTTCAAAACACAAATGAATGAATGGTCAACCAATGGTCCCAGAACAAATCTAATTCAACCAGCGGGCTACCACTATGCATTCCTTAAAAACTGTAGAAAAGTGAAATTTGCCTTAAATACGTAACTTGCAAACTGTAGCACATGGAGAAGTCAGTCATTCAGGGAAAAAAAAATACCATCAGAAAAACAAGTTGCGACGTCGCACCGGTGCAGCAGGAAAGAAATGTTCCTGTGGAGCCAAGAGACGGAGGAAAAAACAAAATTTTGGGCACCTTCATATCTACGTTCCATTGATCTCATCGCAGTGCTTCTCATCCTTGCAATGTTGCCTGACGTAAGAAGTTCCACCAGCCTCGATTCAAAGAAAGCTGTCACAGAGGACCGAGGCCTAGAATAAGCCAAACTAGTTCTCTGCCATATGGCCTCGGTTGCTGTGTGGTGACAGGTTGGTCCTTTGAGGTTATCTTCAAGCATGTGCTTGTCACTTTGGTGGTGGCAACACGATGCCTCTTCTCTCAATTGCAAAAAGACAGTGGAATAAATTAGACGGCATCGAAAAATTGAGATAAAGTGGTAATAACCTCTCATTAGACTGCTTTGTGGACAAGAATTAAATTAAAGCTTGTGCGCACGGTGTTACACAGATTCGAGACCAAGAGAGACATTATTATTATTATTTTCATCGTGATTTCAAATTTAAAACATGGATCATAAGAGTTTTGGATCCTTTTGTGCCTCCCTTGAACTCACAGAACAATATGCACTCCAGAACTAATCTGCCACGGTTATCTGCTGCTATTCTCAGACTTCTTTAATGAAATGACTCATCTCCAGTAATGGAGGGACATGTGATTGAGAGAGTAAAAAAAAAAAAAAAAAGTGGAGTACATTTAACAGTGAACCATTCTTCGGCTGTAATTACAAAGATCTCCTTGTAATATTTGCCACAGATGAAAAAGGAAAACTTCGGAGTCACGGTGCTTGTATATGGACGAAATGAGCTTTAGGGAGGTTTTAATTAAATCACGAAGGTACATTCATTTATGAACTGTTGCTCAAAAGCCTGGGGGAATTGTGTCAAATCTCATTAAAGATTCGAATAACAATAACTATTACTATTATAATTATATTATAGAAATCGTCATAATCATCACCATTATCATCCACAACACAGGTGTCAAAGTCAAGGCCCGGGGGCCAGATCTGGCCCGCCACATCGTTTTATGTGGCCCGCGAAAGCAAATCAAGCATGTCAAGTTCCATGATGCCTGCTAAAGTCTGAACCAAAATGTCAAATTGTCATATGTAATCCACAATGATAGTCATTATTCTTGACTTCTGATTTTAAAACTAGTTATTCATCAATTTGTTGTGTGCTGTGTGTGTAATATGTAGAGGTGATTAAACATTTATATGGTTTCCCAAAATTCATAACGGCCCGCCAAGGCAAATTGAAACTACAATGTGGCCGAGTGTGCGTTTCCGTCCCGCTTCACGTCTCCAATATATTTCCAGACACTCTTAATATGCACTCTCATTTTCACTCTAATTATATAAATACTAGTCAGGCTAATGTATTTAATACTTGCGGTACATATTTAGTTTCATTTGAGCCCTAAAAACACTAATGGAAGAAGCGTAAAGCAGACTGTTACTTCGTCTCAATGAAGAACATGTACAAGAGCACACAAAAACGACATACCATGCATATAAGTTGCCCAATGACGTCACTATGCAACTCAGGTTCGTATAAATTGGGGGATGGGTGAGTCATGCCTGCCACCCATGCGTTTCACTGAGTGCCATTTTAGCCGTGCTCCAAAAAGTTTCATGCTATATTTCCACAATTGGATACTACATAGTTCCCAGTCTTTGCACATTTTCGGCAATCATTTTTAGATATCTGCTACGCATTTAAAAGCAAATCGTCGCTGCCCTGTGAAAAACGTGTACGCCCATTTTTAATTGAATAAAAAAATGTATATTAATAAGATAAGATAAGATAACCTTTATTTGTCCCACACTGGGGGAATTTGGGATGTCCGAAACACGGAGCGTCTTAAATACACTTGGTTGCTATTGGTGATTGGCTTCTTCTTCGTGGGTGCCACATTCAGAATTCCGCATTGATGGCAACATTACATGGCGTCGGTTGACACAAACACACACTGTAAATATGAACAGGAAAAATAAGCAAGCGTATAACCTGTTTCTATGCTGCCTTGGTCATATTTCAAGACCTGCAGCGTTTCCAACTGTTTCAGCTTGTGACTTGTCACATTCCATTACTCACTCCATGTTTGTGAACACAGGATGTGTGTGTGTGTGTGTGTGTGTGTGTGTGTGTGTGTGTGTGTGTGTGTGTGTGTGTGTGTGTGTGTGTGTTCCCGGCTTTGATGCCCACCTCACTCCCAAGTGTATGATCGACTCTGACAGGTTAGTGACCCCTTTTGGAGCTCATGTGTAATACACAATCCCCACCCCCCACCCCCCAATATTTTGTTACATGTTGCAGCTCCTCCTCTAAGAATGCGCAGCTCTCATCCATTCTGTCTGCACGGGTTTGATCTCGCACACGTCCTTTATTTTCACAGCATCCCCCTTAATTAGAGTTCAACTGGAGGTACACGCATGACGACAAAAACAAGAATCGCACAAAAACTTTCTTGCCGTCCAGAGAAGAAAACGTGCCTGTCACTTTTATTTCATATTGCTCCTTCCTGATTTAGCCTTTTTTTTCCCCTTACTATCACGGATATCTAAATCAAATGCAGACAGCTCAGCAAGGTGAAAAATCCCCTATAACACGATGTGTCTTTATTAATGATATGCCAAATAAGACAAGAGAAATCCATCGCAGCATTAGATTCTGTCGCAGCGCAGTCCAACGGATGCTAAAGGTCAATGTAATGAGGAAATTCATTAGTTCATTCAAATTAATTCAATGTAATTCCATGTTACGTCTCATTTGTATTGTCTAATGACAAGGCCCTCCATTTACTGTTTTGCAAAAAAAAAAAAAATAACTGAACTTGCTCAACCCCGTCACTCTTGAACTTTAACTGAAAACATGAAACTAAATCATTTGTTTTTTATATTATTCGACAAACTCAAGTGGAAGGATTGCTGGCATACAAAAAATATATATATCAGTGTTTCCTAAATAGAGACACAAACAGAAATGAACGATCAGGGTGGAAAACGGTCTCTAAGAGCCCACTTCACAGATCTGTGCTCTCCCTGGCAAACTTTATACCATCTGTCCATGGAGGTCTGCTTGCAGTTCCCTACAAAGGTACTTTGCACACTTTAAATTCCTCCATGGAGTCCAGAAAATCAGTTTCTGTTCCCGCCATGTCAAGGATTGTGCCTATTGTTTGCTGATTTGAAAGCCTCTTCTATTCTCGCTGGATCATTTCAGTTGTGTTCACGCCCACAACGGCGCAAAATGCTCATTTTTAACCGCGCCCAGCTGCGTGCATATGTAACAATAACAAAACTCAGTCCAGTCCGCCCCTCCACAGATTTAGACCTCGCCTCATGCTATCCTTCAACGGGGGATGAAAATAAAATCCTTTAAATGAATTAAATTAAATTTAATTAGTGGTTACACGATGGCACTCATTGTGTGCTTTCAAGTAAGAATCAATACTGAGTAGTAATGTACGAATGTAGCTACTGTACAGTACAATAGTGTGACTGTGACAAAAAAAACAAACAAAAAAAACTTTACAGTGCAACATGTTAAGACGAGATTGATTCTTGCTGGTTACAAGCATCCTTACGTTTGATGCTTGTTGTTCAGTAATAGCTGCCATCAGTACAGTGGACAATGTTGGAGGTATACTGATCGGGGGCCGTGGAGGTCATCGATAGATTACTCCAGCGGGAATCAATGAGGTTACATGATGTGGATGGGGTTATCAAGGTGTGTGTGTGTGTGTGTGTGTGTGTGTGTGTGTGTGTGTGTGTGTGTGTGTGTGTGTGTGTGTGTGTGCAGGCAGGTCATCTGACTTGCCTGACTATGTCGAAAATCGAGAGGAGTAGTGCAAGAGACAGCAGGCAGCTTTGTTGCCCAGGCTTACCTGTCATAGTCGCCATTGCAGAGTGCTCGGACAGGAATAGTAAATGGCTGCCACACCGGGTTTAACGTGTTCTTCACCACCTCTGTTTTATGGCAGATCGTAAAGCTAGACAGAAAGAGTGTAGAGGAGGAGGCAAGAGTTAAAGTGGCAGTGAAAAGAATTTGCTCATTAATTCCCTTTATGCAGACGTGAGAGATAAATATGCAAATAAGGGGAGGAGGAGTGTGCAACGGAAAGGACAGAGGCTCCAATGCGGGGACACTTTAAATAGGGGCTGTGTCCGGCCGGCTTTGTTTATTTCTTGGCCGGTCTCCCAGTTATATTGTTTTACAGACCCCGGAGAATTATGTCATATCTGAGTCTGACTCTCTCAACCAAGCCCTCCTGTGCCACTGGATTTCTGCTATCTACAATGCTTCACAGAGCATAAATCCCTATTAAATACCGCAAACCATCCTCTCACAAAGCAACAAGGCGTGTCACTTTTATTTGGATTACTTGTGCTCCACTAAGTGCCACAAGCATTAGAAACCCCCGTAAGTCTGTTAGGTACTCGGCCCCATAATATGTTCTTCCTTGCGGCCCAAAAAAGCTACAAGAGTGCTAATGAGGCGTTAAAGGATACACGGAACTGTTTGATGGGAAAAATTTGGTTTTTGATGTGTGCTTTTTGCATGAATTACCTCTCCTATATGGCGTATGCTCTCTCGGAGTCATTTATGCAAGCCAAGTTGTTTGTGGTGCTGATGTGACCAGTGCCTCTGTACGTAGGAAGTTGTGCACGACTCGTTAAACACTGCAGCTCCTACTATAGTGTCCATACAGTCCAATGCACGCTCACGTGGGCGATTTTATAGTTCGACTGCATCTTCTCCTCACTTCAAGATGGTTTACATATTGGGGCAGCAGCAGTTGCATTTGTAAGGACCTGATTTTAAGATCGGAGTGTGGAAGGTTGGAATCCTGCTGTGGAACAGAATATGGGATTTATGATTAGCTGCTGGAGACGCGCGGTAATTCACTTCCAGAGTGCCGCAGGGTTGCCCTTCAGCTTTTATTGTTTTTCTGACTGACATTAACTGTTCAACGCTTCCAAATCTTCCAACCTGCTCGCCCTCTCCTTTTTTAAAAGTCTTGGGCTAAGACAAATTCACTGTGGAAACAAGTTGGTGAAATATGACAAAGGAAATACAGTCCGGGATCTTGTTGTAGTAGCGGCCGCTGTTAGCTAGCTAAAATTAGCACTGGGATTCTTCTTGTACATAGCATACCGTTTTTTTTCTCATCATACCATAAAATCGATTGATAGATAGATAGATAGATAGAGACAATTACTTACGTTCCATCTTCATTGCTTCTGTAGAAAACCATAAACGGATCTGATTTCCCAAAGAAGTCCTTCTTGTCTAACTTGTTGGCACAGAACTGCATAGTGGCGCTATCCTAGCATGTGAGCAGATGGGGAGAATAATAAGCAGAGTAAGGCGGCGTAAGATAAGTACCATTAAAAATTGTATTCCGGTGGAGGTGGATTATGTTGTGTGGATTTTGCACGCCGCATGCATTCACACAACATTATATTAGAGTGACAATTTACAACAACAACTGCAAAGCTATTACGCAGTAAAAATCAATGAGTTGAGAAATGAAAATGTCAAAATAATGATATTTTTGGATTGTTACAAGTAATTCCATGTGAAAATGGCCCTTGCAGTCAAACAGGAGATGTTCTTTGGTCACCATGTTACGAATTACATCTTTTTTTTTTACTTAGTTCACCATATAAGGTATCTATGAAGCTGAACTTATTTTATTTTATCGATTCAGGTAAGACAGCTGACCGTGCTTCTCATTTGGTGAAAGACATGACAACAGCACGGCTCCTCTGATGAATAAATTAATTGGATGATTAAAACTAAGTTCTCAATTGACATCGACAAGAAAAAGGAACAATATTACCGTGACCATATATGAGGCAAAAGTGCTGCTGAGAGATTAATTCATGCTGAAAACTTTTTCTTTCCCTCTGCCTTATTGTGCACCCCCCACATAGTTTATCATGTAGGGCTTAGAGCATGTCCAAATATAAATCATTGGCAAGCCTTTAAGGCTTGAGGTACTTTCTTAATGTTCCCCTCCCAGTGGCTGTCTCTTATTGTGTGCAGAAAAAGAGGCCTGACTAACGCTTGGATGCACGCTGCGGCTAATCTACGCGATACAGTGTTCATTACAGTACTTTCGCACACTTTCACAATAAATTGCTGTTGTTGTCATCATCGCCTGAGGTCGTACACCAGGCAGCCAGCGCTCTACTAATGATAGCTTGATAGCTTTTTAATGTCACAGCTTGCACCTCGTGTCAGCCGGTGTGCCGGGTGGCATATCAGTTAAGGGATGGATGCGAGGTTCCAAATGTGACAGATTTTATGCGAGTGTTTCTGCCCGCTCAGATTCCTGGTTCCGTTTTCCCCCCACAGTGACCTCCTGCTTGCGTTTTTTAAATTTTTTTTTTTTTTTTTTTTTTATCATCACTTCCAGCCAGGCACTTTGCAGCAAGCATGAACCACTCCAGTAACGAGAGGAACTTCATCTGCCTGCTTTCCTTCACCCTGGGGGTATATACAGTACCTACTGCACATCTGCCACATTTGACACTGGCGTTTTGCAGAGATCATTCCATTTCATCTCGGTACACATTCATCTCACATGCTCTTCACTGTAAGACACATGAACAGCTGTGTATCGTGCTACATGCAAGATGATCGAAAAATGAGGCGCATTATACTGAAAGGTGTTTATATGTTTGAAAATTATTCATACTCATGCACTCAATGCCGTTTCATCTTTCCTCGGAGATAGCGATACTGTATGTACTGTATATGCCTGCATAATTACAGCAGGAGTTGCTCACTGTGTTTCTCATGGGGATGGAACTCTACAGGCTAAGAGCCTCGAAGGCTGACAGGAGGTGACAGCTACCGCTGACTCAAAAGCATTTTGATGTATGTCGTAGTATAGACATTTCAGGAATTTACAATACGATTAAAAATGGCATCGACAGGGCTTTTTGGGTATTTTTCTCAGATCCTACCTTGTACTCTAAGCTTCAGAGCAAACCGTGGGAACCCTAAAACCATTTAATTTTTTTCATCTATCCATCCATCCATTCATTTATCTGTACCAGAAGCTAGCGAGTGCTTGCGTGACCATGTGAATCTTATTCAGATCGGAAACCTCTTCTGCGCTGAATTTAAATGGGATGAGGGCAGCCGATTCAAGCCGAATCAAGTCGTCTGTGTTCACTCCCACAATGGCGCAAACGTCCACTTCTAACGGTGCCCGTCATGGAAAAAAACTACCAAAAAAATGAAAACCCCACCCATGCACAGAGTTAGATGAAACTTAACGCAGGACTTGCGCAGGACATGAACATGAGGTACTCTTAAAAGATGTGTGACAACAAGCATCCCACGTTGTTTAAGTCTGTCATAGAAAGTGGAGTGGTTCTCTTTTTCCAACCAGTTTCTATTCTCTCTTTCCTTGAATATTTTGTGTGAAACAAGCCACCTAGCGTGTTAGTTTATGTTCCAACCTTTTAGCTGAGGAAGAACAAAATTCTCACCCCCGCGGCAGTACCCATAGATGATTTTATCAGCCATTTAAAACATGTTTTACCTTTTATATAACACAATACCATGCCTTTTTGAAAGGACAAAGGAAACCCTCTTATCAATTCATGCATTTTAAAGTACACGTATTCTCAGAAAACTTTATTCTTTCTCTTGTCTTGGGGGCAACTTGCAAACCCGTGTCATATTCCGATAGATTAATCCAGAAGCAAGTGGCAAAACAAAAGCAAGACCTGCTTCTTCTTCTTCTTCTTCTTCCCAGCACATTAAAGACACTGTTCTCGGCTTCCCCATTCGTCTTCCCGAGCATTACAACGGTGTTGCTGCTGCTGCTGCCCTCATTCAGCCAGAGTAAAAGGACACACATACAAAGGGAAGTGCTACTGCGGTAATAGGCGCATGAAAATATTTATGGCGATGAACAGTGTTGGGGATATTAAATATGCATCTGCTCCTGCCTCATTAATGTTCTGTAGCACACACTTGCATTCTTGCTCAGATGGAAGATCAACGGCATCGGTTAATGTGGAGGCAATCAACTATCAATATTTAAACCCTGTGTGTGAGTGTGTCCTGTCCATCAGCAAGTCGCCCTCCCACTCAAACGACCTCATCATTTCTATTAATTCTCTCAGATTATATTTTTAATCATATTTGGTGTGATCCATATCAAGCTGCATCGAAATACGCAAAGTGCTTTCAGGCTGCACTCGCTTGTCTGCAGAATAATCAGTGGGCAAGAAAATTGGATAAGAAAACAAATGAAAGGTACAAACAAATGAAACAAATGAAACGTTTTTACTTAAGCTTCTTTTTTCCACGGTTGGAACCCCTTGTCAGCCTTTTGTGGTGAACTGAAATAATCACCTGAAAAGAGTTTGAGCTGTGAATTTAAAGTTGGCCTTACAAATGATTTGAACATTTGCCGTTTGGGTCATGGTCAGATGGCTTTCTCACAAAATGAACCACGACAGAGTTTGCTTTGTACTGAATGGTCTCTGGCTGGTTGGTACCAGATTATCAAATGTACTCCACTATGGCGGGAGGGAGGGGAATGAAGTAGATGATCCAAATGCACTAAAGGATGAAAATAGTTTCGCATTGCAACGAGGGATTCAATTAAAGGATAACGTTTGCAAAAAGTGAGTGTTTCTGCTTGAGTGTGTGTACGTGTGCTCTGTATGGGGACAAGGTCAGGCTGGGCTGCGTTTTAATTAAGCAAATCTCGGTCTCACACTGTCATTATCCAAGCTGATTTTGGAGGTACGAGTTGGTACCTGCAGGGTGTGAAATAATCCTATATCGATTCACTTCACTGTGTTTGTTTCATCCTTTGTGAGACTAATGTGCGCACACACACACACACACACACACACACACACACACACACACACACACACACACACACACACACGCGGCCGCTGTAATTTTTCATCTTTTAATTGCACATTTGCTTTGGTTTTCAATATTGCACATCTGCCCCCCCCCCACTCTCCCTTTCATTGCCTCCCTGCCTCTGTCTTTGCACAATTTGTTCAGTTTCACTCTCTTGCTTTCCAATATCCTGCTCTAATGTGTGTGCGGTGAGTTCAGTGGAGCACATCTCCAGCTTCAGACCGCAGGCTTAGTCGAGAGAATGATCAGCATTCACCTCATCATGTCGCCGGGCCATTTCATTCAACAATGTGCCACTCCACTGGGTGACAACAGATGTCCTGTCTGCTGTGTTGTGAGAGGGGTGAACGGGTCAGAACTAGCCGCCAGCATAAACACGCAACCATATATGGGTTGGGAGATAAAATAACTTGATATCAATGGGTGGGGTATTTGGCAATGTCTGTAATGTGAATCCAGCGGTGAAAATAGGGTCGCTGCGTTTCTTGCCCCCCCCCACCCCCCCACCACACACACACACACACACACACACACACACGCACACACACACACACACACACACACACATATTTCCCCATCTGACTGAGTGCTCCCGTAAATGCGTACAAGTAGCTACTGGCCATCACCTCATTCTGCCGCCGGTCATCATGGTAAAACAAAAACGGTGTGTGCATTGGGACACTCCACATTTAAAGGAGGGCGGGGTCAGTCGTGGCTCATTCGACAAGGGCCAGCAAAACAAAAGTTTGGTAGGCGTGCACAAGTTTCTGCTTCGCCCAATCAAGTCAAAGTATTGTCCAAAATGTCCCGCCTTTCCCCAGCAGATCACATTGGAGCAGTCCCAGATTGATGGTGTGGAGAACTCCTTTGAGTGATTCATGTGATCACTCTGGCTCTTGCCACGTTACCTCCCCTCAGGGACCAAAGAAATTGCTGGGATTGCTGCTGGTTGAAGTTGATATATCGTTGTATCTATTTAACCATAAAAAGGGTTTCACAATTTGATGTCAAGCATAATTTTTGTTTTTTTTTGTCTTGAGAGCAGTGTTTTCCCATCCTTTACTGAGCCAAGGCTCATATTTTACATTCGAAAAAGACCACCGAAAAAGATGTATATGCCGTACGCCTGTATTGATGTTGTCGTCTCATTTTACTCCCAAATGTACTCACGAAATGTGAAATCTGGCAGTGTTTAGTAAATCCGTGATCGATATTCTGCGGTATGAATAGCATTTCAAGCAACTTCTGCAAAGGGTCAATTATGATAATAATGATGGTTTACTTACTCTGCAGTTGCTCAGCTCCTCTGCAGACAGGATGATGGTGCCGCATTTCTTCCCCGGGATCCCGCTGTGGTAGGATAGCCGAAAGATTTTATGATCAGTGACAACAATTAATTAGAGCATCATTCATGCTCGGCAACATTGAATTCATATTTTGTGGCTTTGGCAGTTGTGCTGTGCCAAGGTCACCTCTGTATCTAGCATTTACGGGAACATATGTCACTCTCTGGCTGAACGTAGCAATATAGCTCGCTGCTATGCATTGGAGAAAACGCTCACCGGCCACAACAGTTGGTAAACCTGTAGAATACCATCAGAAAAAAAGCATACGCCACAAAGTACAGGTACTTGAAAGCAGCGCTGCATATTAGAAATACACCAACGAAATCCAACCACCATAACACAAATACAGTTTCACAGAATAATGAAGAAATATGACTCTGACAGGTACCTAATAAAGAGTCTGATAAGTCGTTGGAAAAGTGGCCCAACTTAAAAAGAAAATATATATATATTGGAATATTTCTCTCTCTCTCTCTCTCCCCGGCTCATTCCTAAATGGAAGATGAACAAACACGAGTCTGATCACTCATGAGCCAAAAGACAATGAGTGCCACATTGAACATTTAACATCAAACGAGGCTTGCACTGTTATCTCATGCAAATTGAGGTCGTGATCTGCATGTGTTCATTTGCATGTTTTTAAATGGCCCAGATCAAATGATTATCAAACAAAAAGAAAAATGTAAGAAGCAGAAAGTATGGTCTGTTATCTGCAATATACGCCATATCCTAAATATACCATCCATACCGTATTTGTGCTTATTTATTCATTTATAAATTGTACTAATTACATTACCCGCGATACAGAATTCACAATACTTTCCAGATTTGGGGGAGAAATAATGTGAGCGCAGTAATATTGGACAACATACAGTCAAAACTGTGCGCAATATCATGATTTACCAAAGTTAAAAGCCAAATGATTTCAGTGATGCAAGAGACCAAAATAGCCTGCAGGCCGCATCATTCAATTTATTTGCAAATCCATCTTTGACATTTTAGTTGGCTCTTAAAAGTACTGTGGGCCTCGGAAATCAGAGTTGTTGGCCGCCAACATTGCAGAGCGGCCGGGAGACTAATAATGTTCATCTCCTTAATAATTCATTGGCGAGTTTACTGTCACAAATATTCCCATTAAATATGTGCCAGACCATACATTGTGCGACTTGCTGAAAACGTACTCCAAAAACTTTTAACAGCCTTATTAAAACTTGGTTCTGCTCAGAAAAACGAATTGGGCTGTGGAAGTCTATTTTGCTCTACAAAGCGGCTGTCTGTACCGCTGGGTCCTCTCGCCTTAAATGTTGTTCGTGCACTCGCTGGCGACAAACATTTGTTGCCTGTGCCAGTGTAGATATTCTTAAAAATGGTTTCTATTGTTACCTCCACTCCCGTTTGTTCTCTCCTAAAAAGAATTGTCATCTGTGTTGTGTTGATTACCCCAGCCGAGTTATACATGCCCACTAAAGCCCACCCACCACCCCTCCCCTCCACCGCCCTCCCCAATGGTGCTTTGAAAGCATAACAGCGCAATCATTTTGTGGTTTCTATTCAATATGTGGCATTTGGTTGGAAACAGCAGGCCATCAAATTTTTGTGTGTGTCTCATCTGAGGATTATTAAGGTTGCTGCTGATATTTTACAAGTTGATGAATGACCTTGTTAATCATTTGCGTGTCACGGTAAGCGGCGAGTGTCCTATTAGTTTGGAAATATCACAGAAGGCGGGACTGTAACAGCAGGAGCTCCATCTCAAGGACGTGGAGGATAAGAACGTAATAATGAGTCAATCTGTGGGAGTTTTGTTAACATAATTGCGCCGTAGAGCCGACGTTTTACAACGCTCACCCACAACATTTGTTGAAACGTGCTTAAACATTCATTTTGAAAGATCACATTTAAAAATGTAACGTTCAATTTCCTCAATATATATACTTCTTTACCGTGGTAGTTTTACAGGGATGCATTAAACACCAAATCTCTCGAGAGGGTCAAAATATGTCATGCGCCGTATTTCTTCGAGCACATTCACTGTTATCATTTGCTGTGACTTGGATTATTCTTTTGCAAAGAAGACAAGGAACGTTGAAATGACTCCCTATCAGTTTTTTTGGGTGGAAATTTAAAACATTTTATGAGACTGCACCTATGACTTCTAATGTGATGCACCCAAAAGGGGGGAACCATGAACACGACTCGGCTTCCTTCTGGTTTACAGGCGCTGAACAAAGTGCTCTCCAGCTGTGTGCAGAGGTACAAAGTCAACTCGGAGGAGACATTTACGCCACACATTGAAAGACCTCCATCAACGTTCAGGCATGGAGGAAAAAAAAAATCCCTGTCAAGTGATGTGAGAAGCTGTGAGTGCTTTTTGGCACCAAGAATTCAATGTAAACACCCACTCGACAAAAAACATCATCAGCCACTGGCCAGGAGGTAGAGCCTTGAAACGAGCTCGTGCGGATTTCACCAGATGTGTCTGAAGGTTGTGAAATCCAACAATCAAAAAGTATAAAAGAGGCTATGCTTTGCGAAATAATGGATGCACGCTTGACAAGGAACTTCAAGATGCTCAACCGTGTACTGATGTACTATTTGGTAATGAAATATTCATGCCACAAATGATATGAAGAGAGGAAATCTTCATTGGTTCTAGTCAGCATTTAATCTACAATATTTAATCCAAAATATTTTTGCATTTTTTGGCGACCGGTAATTTTTATAGCCATATTTTTGCATATCATGATCATCACGGCCATCCCATGACATCACACATCACAAGGGTTGTGGGGGGTACTGGAGCCCATCCCAGCTGTCTTTGGGCAGTAGGCGGCGGACACCCTGAACCGGTTGCAAGCCAATTGCAGGGCACACAGAGACAAACAACCATCTGCACTCACACTCGCACCTAAGGACAATTTAGAGTGTTCAATCATCTTGCCATGCATGTTTTTGGAATGTGGGAGGAAACCGGAGTACCCGGAGAAAACCCACGCAGGCACATGGAGAACATGCAAACTCCACACAGGAAGGCCGGAGCCGGGATTGAACCCACGACCTCTGCACTGTGAGGTCAATGCGCTAACCACTGGACCAACGGGCTGCCATCCCATAACAGTCCATCTTAAATGACTGTCTGTCCTTAGCTGTATCTAGACATTCTTATTTCACTATTAGATGCCTCATCTCAGAGCTATTAGAAAGACGAGATGGAAAATTATTGAACGCAAATCTAATTTGAACCTCACTATCGATTTGCCACAGCAAAAAGCAAGACTCCAGTTCTGGGAGGAGAGATCTCTTGAGGATGTCACGCCAGATGATGGTGCTTCTTCAAATGACCAAAAACAATGAAATGGAATATTCATCTCATAAATGTATCTGGAAGGTGGTGCCGGAACCGTAACGTTAAAGAGCTCACCTTGCAATAACTGAGGGTGAGCGAAAGAAAAGACCTCATGTATGAGTGTCACTGAGGATGGAGTCAGTTAAATGGTGCATGTATAATAGAACCGGCCCATCCATTAGCGCAACGCTTCAAAGACTCTGCATACATACATTAGTTTTTGAACCTCTGGCATTAAAGCAGCACGAGGAATAATTGGGTTGTTTGTTGGCTTTGCCTACATTATTGATGTCTAACATACTTTTTCGGTCAAGCCTCTGCGGTTACTTCGAGGTCAACATGGAAAGGCCAGACGGTAACGATGCGAAGCCAATGAAAATAAGCGGCGTTCTTTTTGAGGGCGCAAAGGGTTGATCCCTGTGAATCCTGCCTAGCAACAAGTGACATTGAAACATGTGCTATGACAAAGAAGTGAATTAACCTGATTACCTCACCAGTGGTAATTTTTTAAAAAAGTCTACAGTCCTCAGAAACATGTTATATATATATATTTTAAATGACTTTTATTCCCTTGTATCGGAGCATTAGTGTGACAGTTTGATGACAGCTATTCACAGTCAGATGTTCAAAGTCAAGCTTCCGTTCACAGACAAGGAGCACTCGAGATAACCAGTTGAAAGTGAGATTGTGCTGGATGTTGTCCAGAAGTGCACTTTGGCAAAGAGCCACGGTTAAAAAAAAAAAAAAAAAAAAGAACCCAAACAGTATCTCATTGATTCAACAGTGCAATTGAGAACATCAAACCTTCCCTGAAAATCGGTCCACAGAAACGACCTCTGACTTGACTTAAAAAAAGAAGAAGTCAAGAAGTAGACAATTAAGTCTTTCCATGACATTAGAAAATAGATTTTTTTTTTTTTTTAGCTCTTTGTTACACAAAAGCCACAAATATAATATAGAAGTCGCAGGGTTTTGGTGATAAAATCCATTCTTTATATGATGTAGTAGAAGTCGATCAAATAAAATTAACATTCTGTTTTGAGCACTGAATTGAAATTTTACATTCAAAGAGGATGAGGAAGGCGCGGGGGGGAGGGGAGGGGGGTTGGGGGGGCGATGGGAAAGCAAGTACCAAACACACCTGAGCACACACACCACATGAGGTGAAGTCCATCCATCAAGCACACCAGTCAATCACATACTCCGCCAACTTGGAAATTGTCATTTTTCCAGATCATTTGAAGCACGGACACAGAAATTGGAGACCCAGGTTGCGGCAATATCTTCCTTTTCTTCAGTACTTTGTGAAAGGGAGGTTGGCCTCTCCAGACTTCTTGTTTGAGCTCCTTCACCAGATATTCAATAGCATTTCGATAAAGTGCACATGCAAAGCCACTTCCGAATCATCCATTTTTGGGGAGTGCTTTTAGCTGTTTTTTTTTTTTTTTGGTATTATTATTATTTTTTTTAATCATGGTCCTGTGGATCCACGACCTGCAGTTGAAACCAAGCTGTCTGTATTGCTGACTGGACAGCACGTTTCGCTCCAGATTGCCTTTATTGTCTTGAGGTTTTAGGTCAAATTACTGTATAGGTATAAAATAAATAAATAACAGTCTGCTGCGTCTTTGCCAAGCTAACGATCTACGAAGAACATA